GGAAAATGATTTTTGGGCTGGGGAATTAGCTCAGTGGTTCCACTGCCTGCTTTGCAAGCACACAGTCCCAAGTTGGATCTTAGGTTAAAAAAAAGAGGAAGCTGAGATGGTATTCTGGCTCTAATTACTGCCTATGCAGAATTGTTTTTAAAATAGAAACAATTGTGTGTTGGCTTTTATTTTGAGACAGGGTCTTGCTATGGGCTTGCTTTGAACTTGCTATATAGCTGGGGATGACTTTGAACTTGTGTTGATCGTCCTGCTTCAGCTTCCTGAGTGCTGAGATTACAGGCATGTGCTACCGTACTAAGATTACAATAGGCTTAAAGACATCTAGCCTAGTTAGGTTATGTTTAAAGCAAAATAAAATGTATTGGAAAGAGTGTCATGTACACTGTTAGGGTTTCCATCTAGATGCACCCCACTCTAAGCCTTATGCTTTCATAGGTTGGGATTTGGGGAGATGATTAGCCCATAGGAGGGTGATACCCATCAGTGGCTCCATTGGATTCATTCACTGATGTATTTATAGCTAAATGTGATGTTGGGAGATGAATCCTAGTGGGAAAAGGTAGGGCACTGGGGTCATGGCCTATATCTCTGTCCCTCTTTCTTTCATCTTCTGCTTCCTGATTGCCACCACACGGACATTTCTCCTAGCATCTCCCTCTGCCATGCTTCCCTGCCTTGTAGCCAACCAGCTATGGGCTGCAACCTCTATAAACTAGCAGCTAAGATCAACCTTTCCCCCTTAGAATTATGGGTGTTGGATGTTGTGTCTCAGAGATGAGAAAGTAAAAGACAGTGAAATATCAATGAAAAGAGATGCTAAAATATTCCATCAGAATAGAAATCTAGACACGTGAACCCTCATATGGAAAAGGAGATTCATTCTGATTTGATTGTTAGGGTCTTATAAGGTTAAAAATACGCTCAGTGGTTGAAACCAGTGTCTTGAGATGAAGTGATTACCTATGGATTCATATTACCACATAGCTGGAGTTGATTAGGCGTATTTCTAATGGAAATTTACTGGAGATAGGTTAGAGTTTAATTTTTAGGACCATGGCTGTACTAGATGAAATTTTAGATGCATCTCAGCTCTATTTCTTTTATGGTATGATATTTTTTTTGATATCTTAAACTTGAAAGTTTTTTGAGTATTTTGTTTAGAATTAATTTACAATTATATACTTCAAACAAGATTTGAGGGAGTTTCCTGCTTAAAATGTGAAGCACTTCTTTCTTTCAATAAAGGGACTTTGGTAAGGGCAATACATTGTCACGACATGCAACATCACACCCACAATTTATGTCAAAACTGGATCTACTGTAAAGCCAAGTGAATTGTTATTCGGAGAAATGGAAAATGTACTGAGAAGGGTGTCCATAAATCTATTGCTAGATTGTAGTTTACATCAGACTTTAAACATTCAGAATGATGGAAAGTAAATAACTTAAAATGATAAAAAATTATGCTGCTTTTATGACATGAATATTTCACAGAACAATGTGAAATGAACACACCTTCATAGCTCTACCAAATTTGTGCCAAATTAAGAACAAAAAACAGCTTTTCATTGTACTGTTATAATAATAAATAATTTTCTCAGAGGAAATACTAATTGAAAATTAAAATATTTTGACAAAATTATTTTCAAAATCAAATGGTAAATTGAAAAATTATAGGAAAGCTGTAAGATGAAATGTAAGTAATCATAGATGAATGCTTCCTTACAGTAGTTCATTTTTAAATTCCTTTCTAGATATAAATTTTAATTAAACTAATTTTGATTAAAAGTGAATTTGAAACATTAAAATTATTTTAATATACCATAAGGCAGTTATTAGCAAAACAATGAATTGTACATAACTAATTTTGTTTACCTAATTCAACCTAATGGAATTATACTTCAAAAAATACTATTTGTGAACTAGAGAACATATTATATAAACCAAACAAAATATTTTAGTTGATAAATACCAGTAAAGGTAAAATAATTAAAGATATATTTATCACTTCTTTGAATGAGTTAAATCATAACTTCAAATACATGTGATCGTATCTTCTGTATCCTGAGAATTCTTATCTATTTTTAAAACTGTGTATGACTAAATAGTATTTTCCTCTGCCATTTTGGGAAGAGATTTGGCTACCCTTGAGAATAGTCATCATTTGCCCTGTGGCTAAATCCCCATGGTGTCTGACTCTCCAGTCCACTCTGTACCTACACAGATTTTTCCAGTATTTCACATTGTAAATAACTAATGCAACGATATTTCAGAGGAAAGTATACATTTATAGATGCTAGAGAAATGATGTTCAGTTCTTAGGATATAATAATACACAAACTGAGACACCATCAACCTGATATGTGTCCGCTTTGATGTACAGAGTATAAACCAAGTGACCAGCTTGAGACTATCTCTTAAACATGGTGTCTCTGAATAATTCCAAGCACAGTAGATATATAACAAAAGTATACAGAAGGGAAGTGGATGTGCTGAGTAATTCAAAGCCCTCCCAAAAGGGAGATATTTAATATAAAGAAAATATTAAATTTAAAACATATTTTTAAAGCTAGACTTTAGATCGCTCTAGAGGGTATTGTGCATTAGTGGGTGTTCCCATGGCTGGGACATCATTCTCAACGCACAATTTAAACAAGGCGAGATTTAATGTGCCTTACAGTGTGAGAAGATTCAGTCCATGTTCTGCTGGCTTCAAGGCAGAAGCCAAGGGCCTGGCGACTGGGAAGCAGCGCACAGGAACAGTGCCAATCAGAAAGGGACGCGGGACTAAACACAAAGCCTGGCTCAGTGACCCACGGGGACACACCCTGAAGCGAGCTTTATTAATTTCCGGTTGGCTCCCAGCCAATCAAGGTGACAGTCCACCTTAACTCTCAGTTTTAAAATAAACTATTTTTTCCTTAAAAATATGCTTGAGTCTAATAGAATTTCTATGATGTCTCATGTGCATATTAAAATATTATATTAGACAGGAAAGAAAATCTACTTAGGTATATGTATTAGAAAGTTCAAAGTCATTCAAACTATGCTACGTTATGTCCACATTTCTCCTTTCCTCTTAAGAGCACTGAATATCTAAATATCTGAATATGTGTGGTCTGTATTTTGGGCCCAAATGTCTGGCAACTTGTAATTGAGAAGCTAACATGTTTAGTGATAATGTTTCTCAGCACATCTTGATAAAATTTAACCTTTAGGAATAAAATACATAGGATAAATTGTTTTTTTTAAAAATAGGATCACTGTGTTTGTTATTATATATTATATATGTGTATGTACTTTGTTATTTAAAAAATGAATGCACATGTATTTTAAATTGAAAATTTTGTGTCTATAAATATTAACAAACTGTTAGAAAGTATTTCTCAATATATTAAATTAATACTCTCTATGAACATAAAAAATCATGAATTTTCATGTTATGTCCAGCTTATAGAAATGACCAATTCTAATATCTCCTTGGTTTAAAAAATTTAATTCATTAGATGAAAATTCTAATCTTAAAAATTCAATAGTGTCCCATAGCCCCTATAAAGATGTCCTCCAATCACCACTAAAATATGATTGACTGCCTTTAGAAAAAGAACACGAGGGTCTCTCTTAAGTGGCCCTGCCAACAGTGTATCCAAAATTTAAAAAATTCTTTGTAGTTACTGAATCTTCTGAATATTGCAAACAAGAAGTTTTTTTGTCTATAGAAAATATGTATTTTTCTTGCAGATACATTTTACAGTTCATATTTTATTCAAGAAGATACGGAAGCATCTTAATTACTAAGTGAAACATCTAAATATAATTCACTACTAGAGTTTTTATTGCCTTGATTAAGAAGCAATCAATGCATGAAACTTTCAAGTATTTAAAGTGTCTATCAAGCTGGGTATGGTGGTGCACGCCTGTAATCCCAGCACTGGGGAGGCTGAGGTAGGAGGATTGCTGTGAGTTCAAGACCAGCATGGGCTACATAGTGAGTTCCAGGTCAGTCACAACTACATAGTGAGACCCTGTCTCAACCCTCCCCCCCAAAGTGTCTATCTAAAGACATTGATGGGTGAAGGAGGAAGGGAAAGAGGATGAACAAAAGAATTAAGAGATGTCATGTACATATACATGACGAATGTAATTATTGTGTACCACAAACATGTACTAATAAAAAGACAAAATTAAAAAGAAAAATGATAGCATCTTTATAATAAGTCATACACATCAATTACAGAGCGTCTTTGTGCTGCTAAATAACCCTTCATTCTTGTGTTCTTTCCCCTATGCCCTTGACCTTTGATACTCATTTGTGTCTATCACTGTGGATACCTTTGAACTGCCCAGAACTTTTTCTTTCTTTTTTTCTCTTTCTTTTTCTCTTTCTTTCTTTCTTTCTTTCTTTCTTTCTTTCTTTCTTTCTTTCTTTCTTTCTTTCTTTCTTTCTTTCTTTTCTTTCTTTCTCTTTCTTTCCTCTCTCTCTCTCCCTCTCTCCCTCCCTTCTTTTTCTCTTTTTTTTTCTTTCTTTCTTTCTTTCTTTCTTTCTTTCTTTCTTTCTTTCTTTCTTTCTTTCTTTCTTTCTTTCTTTCTTTCTTTCTTTCTTTCTTTCTCTTTCTTTCTTTATTTTTCTTTCTTTCCTCTCCCTCTCTCCCTCTCTCTCTCCCTCCCGCCCTTCCTCCCTTCCTTCTTTCTTTCTTTCTTAGCATTCTGGTTAGTTTTAGATAAAAGAAAACCAGCCTTTTCCAAGTGCAACAAAGTGGACTGTAGATCAGAAGGAAGCTGGGTGTAAGCTTCTCAGCAGCTCTTGCTCCACAATATGGCAGCGAGGAAGACGCCCTGCCAGGAAGCCTCTGGTGCCTGGCCCAGCAAAGGGATCCTCGGTGAGGAGGGCGGGGCTGCCGAGCCATTCTGGCCCTGGCGTGGTTTGCAGGGCTCTAAGGTGATCTCAGCCAGTAGGTTGACATGATTAACGTGATTATTCTTGGGGGCATTAAATTAAATAACACAGGGAGCCAAGAGGGTGGCTTATTCAGTTGGATTCTGAATCACAATCAAGAAATAATCTTTATCTGGTGCAATCATTATTTCATTTTTCTTGGAGTGAATTCAGAGGAGAGTGAGGTCGTTTGGGGGTCAGTTTCACGCATGACTTTGTGCATGAGGTTGGGATACTGTGTGGTGGTGGAATTGTCCATGATGCTCTTTTTTTTCTCATTGAGTTTATTGGTACATTTTAGGTACACAGTACTGTTACATTCATTATTTTGTCCCCTTGTCCCTGCCCTCCCTGTACTCTTGATGGGAATGCCATCTCCGGCCTACCTGGTAACTCCGTGTTGCCAACACTCAGCCCTGTTACCTACCTTTCTCAGAACTTTTTGTAAATAGAATCAGCATGTAAATTTTTCCTGACTGACTTCTTTCACTCAGTAGAATTATTTGAGATCCATATACATTGCAGTTTTTTATGAGTTTATTATTTTTGTTGATGTGTAGGTAGCATTTCTTTGTACAGATATATTACAGCATCTGGAGTTTGGATGGGAATCAAGGGAGGGGAGAGATGACAAGGTGGGGAGGAGAAAGGAAAAAAATGATTGAAAAGCTGTATATTTATATATCAATTCTTCAAGATGAAGGTCGTTATCATGTTTTGCAAACATTCATTAACAGAAAGGAAACAAAGAAGCTAATAAAATAAAAATTGAAAAGAAAAGAAAAGAAAGGCAGATATTCTGCCAGAAAAGGCATATCACCATTTCTGCAGTCTGGAAGGACGCAGAGAAAACCGTTACCATTCGCACACAGTGGAGATGGGAACCAAGGATAGGGAGGGAAAGACGATAAGAGATTGGAGACAGGATCGGTTATTCACCTTTTGTACTTTATTGTGTATAATTTATGTCTTAACATACTTATGGGGTGATATGTAGTTCCACACACTGCACAGTGACATTATAGGATTCTGAATAAGGTGGTAAGATTGAATTGTACTTGTTGCTGTTCTGCTCTATGAATTGTGGGACATAGAAACCAGAAAATAGCCAACACATGGCAGATTTTTATGGGACAGGAACATGCAATTTTTATTAAACACTGTGCTGTTGATTATACAATGTGGAAAGCAGCAAACGTATAATAATAATAATAGATTTACAAACAGTAGTTATTTAAAAAAATTCCTTATAAGAATACAGATTTGAACTATATATTTGTGTGTAAACAAGGATAAAATAGAAATTATCTCATTTATAGTAAGGACTGAAAAATTAAATAATACTTGTTTAAAAAAAGAAACTCAAGTGAAAAAAATGTTTTTACTTGATAGTCTCATTGTTTTCTTTCCTAGTCAGGAAATCCTGCAATCATAGAAAACTTATTTTAGATATATATAATATTATTTGGACGATACAGCAATGAACACTTTGTCTTTTGCAGCAGGCATTTTCCAAAGTGTAGTAGACATTAGTACCAAGGTGTGGTATTTATTTGTTTATTCCATGCAAAATAGGATTCTTGGCTCATATTAAATTCCAAATCACCTTCCATACATCTTGGAATGACCTTAACATGCTCTGTAGGTCAAATATGGTCACTCTACAAGAGCACTTGTTTCTACATTGTCATTCTAGTGTTCAGTACTGTTCTGATATCTTTATACCTGTTCGAAGTGCTGAGTTGGCCAGTAGCATAAAAAGCGTTATTGTGCTTGCAAAGTAACTAATTGTCATGGCTTGTGTTTGGATATTCCTCAAAGCCTCATGCTGTCATAAGGGGGCTCAGAGGTGGCTGAATCTACAGTGTGTGACTGATTCATGGAGCAATGCTAGGATTAAGGGTGGGTGATTATTGTATCAGTCTAGTGATTGATTTAGCACTACCTTAATCCTAGTAGCTATATAGAGTATAAAAGGGACAGAAAGAAGCTGCTAAGGTCTCCTGTTTGCTTTGCTACCTTCTGCCTGCCATGAACTGTTTCTCCACAGCAATCCCTGTCTGCCATGCCACCCGGACTTGGAGCCAGCTGATTATAGACTAAAACCTCTACAAACTGTGAGCTAAATAAAACTTTTCCCCTTTAACATTTGGGTGCCATGCATTTTTTGTCTCAGCAATGAAAGTATAATGGCTAACACACTGTCATAAATTTTAAATAGCCATTTTTGGGTCCCAAAAAGCAGAAAAATAGCATTCAGAAAGTGTACGTTTGGGCTTGACTGAAAATGTGATAAGCCATTAACACAGTGCTCACCATGTTTGACCCAGAATAGTTGTAGCAGGTACTTAGATGCTGGGGCAGAAATGCATGATTTTGTTCTTGCTTCCAGAATAAAATGGCAATATTTAGACTGGATGACTTAAATAATATTCTTTACAGGGTGATATGTGCAAAATTTTTAGTTCTGTAATGGCAGATATGTGAACACAGGGCCCATAAATTTGAGAGAGCCCATTACTAAGAGAAAATAAGTAAAATGGTGGGGTTGGGGATTTAGCTCAGGGGTTTCACCACCTGCTAAGCAAGTACCAGGGCCTGAGTTTGATCCCCAGTATCAAAAAACAAATAAATAAACAAAAAACAAAAAACAAAACAAAAAAAGAAGTAAAATAGGAAGTAAAAAAATAAAAAAGCAGTGCTACAGTTATTACTGGTTGGCCTATAGAAATAATTCCACAGTGTCTATGCATAGGCCCTCCAATTTTTTAAAGGCTAAAAAGAACATTTTCCAGCATCTTTAAGTAATATGCTACAGTGAATATTTTCCTTGTATAATGTTCACTTTTCCATTGCTATGTCAAAATATCTGAGATAACAACTTTTCAGGGATAAAGATTTATTTTAGATCATGGCCTCAGAGCTTTTAGTCCATGGTCAGTGATTTCTATTGCTTTCAGGAATGTATCAAAATAGAATCCCATGGTGGTAAACGCATGGGGTGATGATTTATTTTACAGCGAACAGAAAGTACAAGAGAGAGAGAGAGATGAAGGGGCTGGGGTCCAAGTGACCCACCTTTCTTCCACTGGGCTCCATCTCCTAAAGTTTCCACCACCTCTCAATGGCACCACAGATTGGGGACCAAGCCTTCACAACAATCCATATCCAAATAATAAAACCTTAGAATGAAATAGAAACATCAAATATTTCTTGTTATTTTTACTATGCTCTGCCATCAGGTAAATTTATCTTTAGCAAAAATTCCAGAAATGTGGAAATTTTCATATAAAATGGGCAAATGTCAAGAAGGCAGGGTAATTTTGATAGTACAACCTACAGAGGAAAGACTTGAGGCTCTGGTGCTCTAATTTCGCCTGTCTACTGCACACCACACCTTGGATTACTTACTCCTTCAAAGGAGGACATTTTCCATCCTTAGATCAATCAGTGTTTTAAAATATTATATGTTCTTCCATTCAGCAAGCTAGAAAATATGTGGTTTGTGATGACTACATATAACAGAAAAGTACTTCCGGAATCTATTTTAAACAGCAATAGTCTAAAATTAGGTATTAAACTTTAACTAATATTCTGGAAAGGACAACATGAATAGACAGTGGTAATGTGTATTTCCCTCTAGAGTGACTGAAAGTCCTCTGAGTAGCATTGGATTAAATGTCCTAAAACAAAGCCAAACTGAAAGTATAATAGGTAACTAGAGGTCACAGATACAAGCGGAGAATTGGACACAAGATAATAAAAATCTACAGAAAGTTCTACTTGCCTCCTCTCAAGTCAGCTTTTGATAGAACAGCCTCTTGCACTTTGACTCAAGTATGTATGAAGAGCACAAAGCATGCTCTGGTGCCCTGAACCTTTTGTTTCTAAACATGCGAGACTCTTTACTTTTAAAAATGGATATTTGCATTATTTAATACAAGTTATTTTATGTAAAATAATACAAAGCTCCTTGAATTTCAATTGTTGTCTTATTCAGTGTTATTATGCCCAAGTGTGTGGTATTCCAAATGGATTATTTTCTTCCTGTTGATAAATGTACTGGCTTTTAGTTTGACCACTAAAATAATGGGACAGGTAGTCAATCAAAGTACATTTCTGTGAATTCCAATGAACCTTTTAGAAAAATGAACAAGATTAAACCTTTAAAAGGCCCTAGTATGTTCACTAAGTGCATAAGTGATTAATCTTTTTACACTCATGTTGACAGCAGCCATAAAATGCATACAATTAAAGTCTATAGAGACATATTTCGTATGGCATATACTGTGAAGTTGTCCAAGAGAGGATAGGATAGGGAAAATACTATATGTATACAATACTCTTCAAATAAGACTTCCTAGTAAATGTGCTCAGCACAGTGAACTTTGGAAACAGTCAACTGTCAAATACTATTACAAATAGTCTGTAATAAGTCTTCCTGCCTCAGATCTGCATTAACTTCTCTAAAAGCAAGTGGAAATACTCTTTGAAATGGCAAAAATCAGCAATTTTTACTGGTTTCTAATTTAAGTAAATAAACATCTTGATAAGTGCTTTAAATTTTGAAAAAAGTACTGACAAAATCAGTTATCAGGAGGCAGTGATATTCTTTGTTGTTTTGACAAAAAGAAAGGCTATTACAGATGATTGTTGTTCTGAGAACTTAAATAATATAAAGATTACTTTGATAAGTTGCATGTTTTTTTCTTTCTTAGTATCTTTTCTGTAATTTTTATAAAGTGAGTAGTAAACTCACCCTCCAAAGTCCATTCTGTATTAAAAAGTTAAATGTGTATAAGTGTCTTCCCTGAATAGGTATCACTTTTTTGTTTTTAAATTAAAAAATACTTTACTAGTACATATTTGCAGTACATAATGATTGATTTCGTTGTGAGAAAGTGCATGTACACAGCACATCTTTTTTGGTTTCTCTCATATATGGTAATAATCCTATAATTTCTGCCCAGGGAGACACACACACTAATAAGCCTATAATTTCTGCCCAGGGAGACACACACACTCACACACACACACACACACACACACACACACATACACACACACACACACAGATGTGGTACAAGCAACTTCTGGGATGAAGTAACATTCTTTTCTCATTTCTTCCTTCTTAAAAGCTGAAATGCTATTGTAATGAGTATTATAACAGTCATTTTGGGTCACAAGATGGAAGCTACAGATTGAGAAAGATTACATTATAAACTAAAATCCTCTTGAAAATAATGAAGAATAAAAATA